CGAGAGGTTGGACAATAGACACTCTGCTGGCGACGGCCTACAAGAGCACCGTCGCATGCATCACAATTTAGATACAACGGCCGACGAGCGGCAATGCCGCAGCCACCTGAGCAGAGCAGCCGCAAAATTAAAAACATTGGACTGGGCAGAAGAGCAGCTGGAACTTGTTTGCCCGTAGGTAGGGAGCATGACGTAAGATACCACACCCTCTGGACCGATTTTCGAAGCTCGACGACTCCACCACGAAGAGAACGCCGAAATCAGATGATACGTTTTCGGGATTTTTTTTTTTTTTTCGGAAAGCTCTCCACGAGACGGCTCCAACGCCGCCATTATCGGAACCATCACTGTATGGTCCTGTCGAGTGATCGAGTGATCGAGTGATCGAGTAATCGAGCTTTGAAAATCGCTCCAGGGGGTGTTGTATCTCAAGCAACCTACGACTCAAGGAAAACCCCAAGGCGCCATTTCAGATTTCACGAACCACCCATCCAGTAGAATAACACAACCATGTTCAGGCAGCATGGAATAAAGCGCTCTAAGCCTTTCTTGCGGGTGTGCGTTGTTCTTGTCCTTCCGATAGTAACAGGTGCAATACACCGCTTGACCCATCGGAGGTCGTCTTCTAGCAGCAGTAGCAGCAGGGTAGAGCTCGTGTCTACAAGGTTGAAACACCATATACAGTAGCTGATTGCCCCCATTGGTTGCATCGTTATTTCTTGGAACTTTCGCTTCAACCACTTCTTTCTTCCAGAGACAATTTGCTGGCAGGGAAGACAAGCATGTTCCACGCACATTCAAAATATGAGTTTCTTCGCACGGAAAAATCTTGAGTACGTACATCACCAAGCATACATTCCTCTCTGGGAAAAAGTCGATTTATCAAAAGAGAGATATTAAGAGAGGCAATCACAAGCGCGACTGGTCCTTCTTTAACCTGAGCCGCGAATTGGCACATACTCAGCTGTTGTCCATCTCCATCTAACCTGGGTACCTAGACTTCGAAGCTTCGAAATACACTTCGCGAGGAGTGTAGCAACAACCTTTCCCTGAACCGAATCACACATACATTCCTCAAGCGTCTAGGCGGTCAACATCACATAGCAGTGCAGCAGTACACGGATGATCGTACCCTACCGGACTCGTGTGTACCATTGTGCCACCCTACAGCAGTACCCACTGGAGTTTCAAGATCGCGTCGTGAACAGATACCCTGTCACCCACACCTTTGGAACTTTACGCGAAAGTCTTGCACCTTTGGATACTGCTGTTCAAGGGGATACAAACACCAGGTCGGTTGAGGTGTAATCGACGGCTGGCTGGTGTTGGACTTGTACAGGTTCCGAAAGATGATACATAATGTGTACATACACTTGATAAGTCAAATGTGTTTTGTGGTTGTTCTCTTGTTTAATGTGTTTCGGGCGGGGGGAGTTGGGAGTTGGAAGACAACAGCAGCTGGTGTAGTTGCAGTTCACGGCAACCAGCAGCCGGTATTTTTTTTTTTCGGCCAGTCACATGTCACATGTCACGGCCCCAAGAGTGCGCGTGATGCATGTGTCATCTGTCTCACCCTGCTAGACCGTTCCACAGCTACAACAACCCCTTCGAAACATGTAAAGATTGGTCCGCATGACTTTCCGGCCCAGCACCACGCGTGTCCACGATATCTCCCTCAGCGCATTGAAGCGCGCCGGTAGACACAAGCATTATTGTCATGCCGTCGCCAACGTTCCGAACAGACGAGGTCAACATGACATCATCACCTTGTGCTATCCCCCCTCGCACACCTCGAGTGAGAAGTACATGAGAATTCCAGTTGACAAGACACAGCAGCAGCAGCAGCAGCAGCAGCAGCAGCAGCAGCAGCAGCTCAAAACAGCTCACCGGTTGTAGTCACCCTGCCTGGGCACAGCAGCCGCAAACGCATCCGTCAGCTCCTTCACGCCGTCCCCCTTGCCCGCGCTCTGCAGCGCACCCCTGATCGCCCCCGCTGCGGGGAAGTCGGGATGGGGCAGCACCCTTTCCCTGCTCGGAGCTTTGAAAATGGCCCACGGCTCCACCCCAGCGAACACGTTACCCTCCTCCGGCACCGTGATGGGACCCACGGTGGGGACGTCAAGCTCCGGCAACTTGACCGTGAACTTGTACTCCTTCATCTTTATGGAGGGCTTGGGCGCGGGAGTAGAGGTCTGCTTTGCTGCCGCAGGTGCCGCCTGTTGGGTCGTCGATGACGGGGGGGGTGCAAACATCGATGGCACCCGGGGATTGGAGTCGACAGTAGCAGCAGCGGTCGGGGCTTCTGTAGTCCCAGCGGGAGAAGCAGGCGGGCTTGCTGCTGCATCGCCGAGTGCGTCAGCAGTGGAAGCAGCAGCAGCAGCAGGGCCACTCGAGACGCTCGTGAGCCTGCGCTCCAGGTCGGCGATCAGGCGGTTCTGGTCAGCGGTGCCCGGTGCCTGCGCCGTGGCTGTTGCTGCACCCGAGACTTGCGGGTTGCCCAGGAGCATGGCCGACAGCAGCGCCGCCGATAACTCCTTCGCCGCTCCCCCGCCGCCCTTGCCGTTGCTGTCGGCATCATGACGTTGTGGTCGTTCGTCCGGCGGTGGTGAGGAGGATGATGATGACCCTCGACACGCGGCAGCAGCGGTGGCAGACCTCCGCCGCCCCGCCGTTGTCATAGCATCATCGCATCCACCCACGCTGCTGCTGGCAATCCCGCGCGTGCCGGTATGCAGGTGGAAAGCGAGGGAGGTGTGTGTGGTCGTCACGGTGGCGAGGCACAGCCCTATCGCCGCGGCCGCTGTCGTTGCTGCTCTCGGCGCACTGCGCCGCCGACGCGCACCATGACTCGCCATGAACGGCAGTGGAGTCCCCCCAAGTACAGGTGCAACGTGTTGCACCCACGCTCGTTCCACGAAGTCAAGCCGCACTAACACACCCTTTTGGGGTGGGTGACTAAGGCCTTGGGTTGGTTCACGAACAAAAAACGGAGTTCGATGGTGGTGTTTGCGGCAGTGGACAGCTGTACAGCTGTACACCTCGCAGAGGGGCTTGGTGTGCTTGCTGCTGGCTGGCGCGTTTCCGACACAGAGAGAACAAAATACAGCGCAAAAAAAAAATCTTTTCGGCGGGGGGGGGGGGGGGNGATGATGCAGATCATATCATAAAAAGATCTGGGGCTGGAGGGTGCGATCCTTGTGTTGTGTGATTTGCCATCATGGCATCGGCACAGAGATGAATGGCATGCCACGCGCAAGAGGCGGAATGCACTGGGTCCATCAGCACGTGTGCAGTGTGTGTCCTGAGCATAAGATTGTGTCGAACTCTCTGGACCCTGTCGACCACACACACGTACCAAAAAAAAATCAGCTACATGTAGCGTATGTATTTATTTGTTGTTGTAGACATTGCGTTGTATTTATTTGTTGTAGACATTGCGCTGCTGCTGTATTGGGGCGTATTACGGGCACAATATGAAACATACTCGCGGGTGATTAAACAAAAATCAATGTGCTTGTTATCCACGTCAGCCACTCCTACACACCGGTCGCCCCGGTGGTCTAGACTAGTGGGTAGCCTCGCAGCCTGCTAAGGACCAGGTCATGGGTTCGAGTCCCGACAGAGAGAGTTTTTTTCTCACTAAATAAATCCTGGCCTAGGATGAAAGCGACGCGCTGCAAAGCTCGTTTGTTAGTAAACCATAATCGACTTCGTAAGTCGCGAGGGAAGGGATTGCTGTACCCTTCTCGCGATAAAAATACCTCACAGGCATGAACCGCAGGAGGGGGTCCAACCCCCCCCTCCTACGTGACCCCGGTTGGGTCGTCTAGCTAGCTAGTAGAAGTGGAGGATAGGGGCCAGAGGGGCAGACGACAGAGTCCAATGATGGGAGAAAAACAAAAACAAACAACAACACAAGAAGTGCGACTTACAAGTTGACTGCTTGTACAACTCAGACGCACACGCTTTTTTCGTGTGCCGAAAAAAACAAATGAGAGCACCACCAGCAACGGATATTCTACATACGTCGAGCTATCTACACATGGACTAAACGGTGATCGACTTCATAGGTCGCGAGGGAAGGGACTGCTGTACCCTTCTTGCGATACAAATATCTCAGGCAGGAACCGCAGGAGGAGGGGGTCCAACCCCGCCGTCCTGTGTGACCCCGGTTGGGTCGTCTAGCTAGTAGAAGTAGATGATAGGGGCCAATGGGCAGTCGACAGAATCCAATGATGGGAGAAAAAATGAAAATAGTAACAAGAATCTCGACCGGCACCGGTCGCCCCGGTGGTCTAGTGGGTAGCCTCGCAGTCTGCTAAGGGCCAAGCCACGGGTTCGAGTCCCGACAGAGTGAGTTCTTTCTCGCTAATTAAATCCTGGTCTCCGATGGAAGCGACGCGCTGCAAAGCTCGTTGTTAGTAAGCTTGATCGACTTCGCAAGTCGCGAGGGAATGAATTAATTGCTGTACCCTTCTCGCGATAAAAATATCTCAGGCAGGAACCGCAGGAGGGGGTCCAACCCCCCCCTCCTATGCGGCCCCGTTTGGGTCGTCTAGCTGGTTGTTGTTGTTTTCACATCAAAAACCGTTCCGATCTCTCTCTCCCCAGTACCTTCGTATGTCCGTACTGATACAACACTCGACGCGGTCGATTCCCGTGGTCGCAGGCTAACTTACGTAAAAAGGTACACTCAAATAAAATGCCCCCGAGGGGTCCGCAAGTCAATAGAAATCAACGACAGATATTATGGAGTCCTCCACTCCCTCTGCGCGCTATGCGAGGTAACAACTGAGACTAGGTAGAAGTGGAGGATAGAGGCCAGAGGGGCAGACAACAGAGTCCAATGATGGGAGAAAATGAACAAATAAAAATAAATAAATAACGGTTTCCTGCGCTTACCCGTTTACAAAGTCTCGGACGAGAAAGACATTTTCAAAAAAACACGAAAGAGGTGTGACGTGTGCATCGTGCATGTATGTAAATCACCATGACAATGCAACACAAGGTGACACGCTACGGCAGAGAGAATTTGGCCCCAGATGTTTCACTATTTATAGTGTAGTAGGTTGGCGTACCATCGTCATAATAATATTAGCATTGCTGTCCATCTCGGCCGTGGTACCTCGCTGGGTGCCAACACGGAGAAAGGAGGCGATTTGCCAGGGGGCTGGTCGCCCTTTTGACGGCTGGGGCATATCCAACTCGACACGCACCTGAGGGAAAAAAATCGGACCCATCCGCACTCACTCCGCCATGCTTCGCTTCTTTCGCTCTCATTTCCGAAAAGCAACTCATGACTTACTTGTTCACAGCAGCCATGACCGTCATCACCGTGACCGACCTTCGCGTTGAGGTGGACGGACACACGCGTGTCAGAGAAACGCACCCAACGTCCATCTCAAAAAGCGCTAGTCTACATGCATAGGGACACATCACGCCCGCGCATGTTGCCACAAAAAAAAAGGCAGAACTCCATTCCCTTGTTCCTTCCCCGTATCCCTCCCTGCCCACGCATGCCTCTAGACAGGCGATTTGTCCCTTCAGCCCCACCTCTGCCCTCCCCTTTGCGAAAAGCTGAGGCGGGGAAACCCCAACACGAGGGATTTGTTGTTTCTTCTAAACTGCACGAGATTACCGTAGGTAGCACGAGATAGCAGCAGAGATGTTTCCTCTTGCCGACGGATCCGACGGAAATGTTTTTGCTTCCGCTTCAGCGATGATGCAGCAAATGTAGCTGGCACGAGATATAGCACCAGAGAGAGATTTTTTCGCGTGCCGACAGAAATTATTTTGCCGGGGGCGTTTCACACGGCGCTGCCTACGCGGTACAAGGACCGAGCCACACGCTGCACAATCACTGCCCGGAACCCTCCCGGCAAAATGTGGCAGCCTACTTGCCCAACACGTCGACCAACTCAACACGGAACACAAGGTCTTGGTTTGGCGGAATGGGTCCCGTCCCGCGAGCACCATACCTGGAACGGCAACATCCACGGAACAGTCCGGGGAAGATCGCACGGAGGCGGACACCAGGAGAGGGAGGGGGGGGGGTCAAATGTTGCTTACATTGCCGTGTAATACGAAGCCACATTTATCCCATCAAGAGGCGGAATCAACCCTTGTCCTACTTTGAGACGCCGTCTACATTCTGGCCTCATTAGGCCTTTCTCTCGTGGTATCTCAAAGGAAGTGGAAAATGTGGCCTTGTACCTTGTGCCCACACCTTTGGTGTTCTTGTACCTCGTTTGGTTTTTCTGTTCGTGCGTGTGTGCGGAAGGAGAAATCAAAAGGGTTCCCCCAATATCCATGATGTAACTGGTATTTTCACGATCTACCCTTTGTTTGGGCGATCAAAATAACCGGGCACGTTCTCAACATCCTCCTCTACACCTCCCCAGCATAACATAAAGAAGTAGTATAGTCAGTACACAAGATATCCAATTACCTGTCTCGTGAGGCAATAAACTACAGGGGAGACATCTCTGTATCCTGCTTGGGGAACGTTTGGGTTTATGGCGCTGTACGTTTACCACGGACTCCTTGTCTGTGGAAGAGATGGATCTCTTGTGTTCTTTGTTGGAAGAAAAAGAACAAACACGGACCAACACAGAAAATCACATAACCAACACTCTTTCCGTGTGATGCATGCAGGCAGATGGGTTAGGCTTCGGGGAATCACTATCACTAGCCTCTCATCAGCACAAAGGCAGAAGCCAGCCGCGAAGGATTCGGGTGGGAACAGCAACTGCGGGGGAAAGGGGGGTACGTATGAGACGTACTTGTAGGGTAAACGCCATTCGTAGAGCAGACAATATTGCACCACCGCTACATGTACAACATGTTGTGACAAGGCCGTACAGCATGTTACAGCACCGGCTGATACATGGAGAACCTGGGGAGATACCGTAAACGTCACACGATAAAACACCCCCTGAACCGATTTTCAAATCCCGATCTCTCAACGACAGATAAAGTCACAGCGCCGAAAACGGTGGCGTTGGAGCTGTCTGGTCGAGAGTTTCCGAAAATGTATTGTTTCATTCATGCATCCTCTTCGTTAGGGCATGCTCGAGCTTTGAAAATTGGTCCAGGGGGTGTGTTATCTTGTGTCATATACGGTAGCTGCATGGTCCTACTACGATGCAGACGACCCCTTACCCTAGGGCGGCCGGGATGGATATCTCCCTGCTCCCTCCGACGCGCATGCCTTCGACGCCCCTGTCCATGCCCGCGATCACGTTCTTCATGCCTGTCACAGCAGGTGGACAATGCACACGCGAAACCACCGTCATCATGCGTGCGATAAGGATCGGAAGTTTGCCTCGAGTTTTCTTTTTGAGGTCATCATACGTGAAGAAGGCAGCAGTGGCGCTCGCTGTCACAGGTTCAGAGGGTTGCGGCGTTTTCGAAACCTTATCTGTCTTACCATACGCGGGAAAAAACATGGAATCGAAGGCATCGGCTACGCCGTACTCCTGTCCCCGTCCCTCCTTTCATCTGCCTGCCCGGATACACTTAAGTCCTTCGTGAGTTGATGCACGTGGCCACACTACGCGATACGGTAGGACACGCAGAGCGCCTACTGGCAAACAAAAGTAGTCGAGCAAGAGAAATTCTTCTTAACGACACGCTGGTAGAAAGGACAAGACCTGACAAGCCTAGGGACGCTTGGAAAACTAATTCGAAACAAAACAGCAAAATAGTTACACCAATACAGCTGTAGCAGGGCGTTATTGGGTGTTGATGTTTATACCCGTTGCTTGCCACTAACTTGGCCTCTTGTTGCAGCAACGTCAATTGTTCAAAGTCAAAGCCTCAAAATTCTTTCGTACGCATGGCTTGGTATGATGGCGGGTTGTTTGTTCGGGATTGTCTCTTGCCAGAATCATTGTTTTCGACGAACATCATAAGTCTGTTTCACGCCTCCTTCCCTTTGGCGACAAGTCTTACAACAACAGCAACAGCAACAACAACAACAACAATAGGAACAACAACAACAACGATAGGAACATCAACAACAACGATAGGAACATCAGCAACAACGATAGGAACATCAACAACAAGAATAGGAACATCAACAACAACGATAGGAACATCAACAACAACAATAACAACAAGCGTCCATTTCGTCTCACCGACTCGAAACTGCAGCGGCCTTCGGCGGTTGTTGTTCTTGTCAAACACGCGGCCGTCAGGGAAGCAACCCTCGTAGCAGATCTTCACGTTCTTGCCGGGTACCGCAATCTTGCCCCCCCCGAACATTCTGCGAGCCCCCCCCCCCCCGAGCGATTAGAGCAGAAAAATTCACACCAACAGATGGACCAAAGACAAAAGAGGTTATGCCTAGCAGATGGTTGATTTGATTGTGGGTGTTGCTTCGGGGTGCCCGATGCGGGGACGTTCTTTGCCACTTGCATGTTCACCTGTTGCGAAGCCGTCAACGACAGTGCCACGCCTGCGAAGGAGGAGAGGCGATCTTGCGGAGAGTATATTCTGGGGCGGAGAGAAATATATACCTCGGAAAATAAAACGTGGACGGCCACGGATGGTGCAGCCTCCATCTCGACCAACCATGCGAAAGAGATAACACGCCGTTACAGGCACACAACCCCCCGCCCACTCCACTCACGTGTCCTTGATCTTGAGGCCTCCCTTGAGGGTCTTGCTGCGGGGGTTCTTGAGCGGGACCCCAACTGGCGGCTCACCCCCGTCCTCGGGGTCCATCGCACGAAACGCCTCCTCCAGGCCCTTCTTCGCCTCAATCGCTTTCCTGTTTGCAGATCCCCCCCCAGAAGAACAAGGACAGGGGGTGGGGGCACCGCGGAGGTGTGGGCGCACGAGGTCAATGTCAGCGCACGGGTGCAGTGAGATGCCGTGGGCCCTCTTCGCAACTGGGGACCCATCAAGACAGGTCAGGGACGGAAGCAATTGGAGGTTCCGCAAATGGGGCAGGGGGGGGAGCAGCCTTCCACAACGGATCGAGTAGTGTGTGAAACGTGCCTAGAGGAACCCAAAAACTCGATCAAGTTCCAAACAAACGCGTCATGTAAGCGAAACGCGTCTTATAACACGCAACACCTGTAAAGAACAAAAACAACAAGAGCAAACGCAGGCAGATAAACAACCAGAGCCATTGCAAAACCAAAACCAAATAAGAGGCCAAAACCGCAAGGATAAGAACAACACAACCAACCTTTTGTTCTCCCTCTTGCGCTGCCGCTTTCTCTCCTGCTTGGTCATCTCCGGACTCTTGTCTTCATCTCCTCCCTCCGTAGATGCCACAGCTCCGCCCTCGCCCACCGCCGCCTCCGCCTCCGTCGATTTCTTGGACTTCTTGGGAGGCCGCTGTTGGCTCGACGGCGACGCAGAGGCAGCAGGCGGGGAAGGGGCAGGAGCTTCCCCTCTGGCACTCGCGCGCCTCTTCTTGCCGTTCGTTTTCTCGTCGTCACCTTCCTGCAGGACACGCCGTCCGACGAGAGAGGGGAATCGAACAACGGGATGACCGATGGGGATGGAGGAGTGCCAAGCAACGCCGCTTGGCATCACCCATCGCCCGGCCAATGGAACAAACCCTTTGCTCATTCGTGCAGCTCCGCAGCACCCTTTCCCGCAACCTCCTGCTCTACTTCTCTCCCTACCCCTTTTCCAGCCCCTTCTTTCTCCTGCTCTTCCTGTTCCTGCGTCTCCTCCTCTCCCTATCCTTTTTTGCTGCCCCTGCTTTCTCTCCTCTCCCTTTACCTCTTCCTCTTCTCTCTCTACCTCTTCCTGCTTCTCCTCCCCCTTTACCTCTTCTCTCCTTACCCCTGTTCCTCCTCCTTCCCTCCCCGTACCTCTTCCTCTTCCTCTTCCTCCTCCTCCTCATCGTCATCGTCGCTGTCACCATCATCACCATCGGCATCCATTTCATCATCATCCTCGTCTCCAGGAACATACTCGCCATCAACTTCCGAGTCATCCTCAGAGTCATCTCCGTCCCCCGTACCGCACACCAAAGCTGCTGCAGCCGCCTGTGAGATTACGGACGGTCGGGCTTTAGCACTGCTGCACATCCACCGGCTTGATCGCGACAGCCAGGTCACAGCAGCCCGAGCACAAGGCCAGCGCCTCCGGGTGCTTGAAAAGCTGTATCAGAGCTTTCAGTCAACCACGGCATCGAGAGCCAACGCAGCTACCGCGGCCACTTGCGCGGCCGATAAGATAAAGAGTACGTCTTCGTGTTACATAAACGCGGCTTCTTCTAGGAATTGAAGAGCACGCTGACGTTTCCAGCTTCGTTTCCGCCTGTGGCTGACGTTAGAGCTCGGCTAGAGATTGCTGCGGGTTCTTAGGCCCTGGTGCGGCTGAGCGGACGCCTTCTACTCGGTGTTTCCTCGGCACTACGCTACCCGCTAGCGCCGACACCAACGTCGTACCACCTAGAACCGACAGCGCCGGTATCGTCGACATCGCCACCACCAACGATTTCACGACAACGTCGCGGCATTCGTCATAAGTGTGGGCTGTGGTAGCACAGTTTGTGGGCTCTGCGTCCCCCCCCCCCCCCCCCCCCCCCCCCCCCCCCCCCCCCCCCCNCCCCCCCCCTTTCCCCCCCTGGCCCACAATCACTCCATACGCGCAGTTTATCGTGTTTGGACTCACGACCTGCGTCCGCGTCAGTTAGACCACATTGTACGGCCATTAGAAGGTACTGAGCAGAGACCGGAGCTGTTTCTAACGTCAAGACAACCACAACAACAACAACTCACCGCCGGCCGGACGCGACGCCCTGCCCACTTCGAGGATTGTCTACCGCTGCCATTCTCTCCTGCTTGTCCTCCTTGTCCTCCTTCTCCTTCTTCCTCGTCATCGTCATCGTCACCATCCTCCGCCTCCGCATCTGCCAGGAGCAAGGCCAGCTTTGAGCGCAGCTCGGCATTGGAACCTTCCTCGGAACCTTCCTCGGACGATTCCTCCTCCTCCTCGCTAGAGTCGTCGTCTGCGCACCCAATACCAAGTTACGGGTCGCACAAGTTCGATAACGCTGTAACACAAGTTCGATAGCGCTGTAGCACGAGTTCGATAACGCTGTAGCACGAGTTCGATAACGCTGTAGCACAAGTTCGATAACGCTGTAGCACAAGTTCGGTATCTAACCCGATCACGACTAGAACCCCACCGCCACCTCAGTGTCATCAGAAGCAACAGCGAGGACAACGGCAGCAGTAGCAACAACAACAACAGCACTGGCAACCGCCGTTCATCGCGCAATCGAGCCAGCCCCCCCCCCCCGCGAAATCCGCACATCATCGTCGCAGCTGACGCGAGTCGCCCGAAGACCCAACTTCGGCCTACGACAGCAGCGCTTTGGGGGAGGGGCGCAAAACGACAGGACCAAGACAATCATTATTGTCTTACACTTGCGTATGTCTGCCCTGATAAACCTGCACTGGAAAAATGAAGAGACCATTGTTCCTCTGCACTGATGTACCGTATCCGCCCTCTCGGGTAAAGCTGTTCTTGAGGAGCTGCTACCGCGCCGCGCTCGAGGGCAACGGAGAAAAACAGCGTGAGGTATTACCAGACGTGGTTCCTCAGAGTCGGAGCCCATTTCGGAGCTGAGGTTTATCGTTGTTCATGCTGTTGACGCTCTTACCGTTCTCAGCATCTGGGTCGTATTCCCTGTTGAAGAAGCCCGTGAGATGGATAGTACCCCCGCCCTTCGCCTGACAAAAAAAACATGGATACGTACAACGGGTCCGACTACTTAGTCGAAAATGGGACTGCAATATCCCGGGATACCCATCTGTTGCAGTAGAAGCTATTCTCCGTGCGTGGGACGGTCCAACGAGCCTTGAGGGAGGAGGGTCTCAGCGTATGGGCGTACGCCTTGGGCTTCCCAATCACCGCCGGAGCATGCCTCGCCAATAGATCAAGATACACCAACAGGAGAAGAGACAAGCAAAAATTCCCGAGTCATGGCAAAAAAAAACATCTCGCCAGCCTTCCTTCGCATGGACGATATATGTCGGGGGGTTGTGCTCTCTACAGTGTAGCTGAGGAAAAAACAGAAATAAAAAAAACACGGCCGAATCTCGTTCCCTGCCCCAGCAGCAACCTCCTTGTTTCTTGGGGGACACGAGCAACAACAACTGCTGTGCAAATCCTCCCATCACACAATCACATCGGAAACAAAGGCGGACGAGCGTATCGGGCAACAGCCTACCGGGGGAACAAGCGGGCGCTGTACCGGCCGAAGAGTGCAGGATAGCTTAGCGCCGCAAGGTTTCCTGATAAGCGAGGGTAGGTTGAGTGTGTGTGTGTGTGTATGGTTCTTTCGATCGCATTGGCCCCTCAAACCGGCTGACCAATGAAAATTATGTTAGTGTGAGTGTATGGCTGCTTCAGACTTGCGAACACTCTAGAGGTGTGTTCGCCCCATCAGGTATCAAGGGGTCTCTGCGGCGGCGAAGAAGGGTAGAGACGAGGGTGGGGGCTCCGTTGAATGCCTCGTCAAGCACATGCTCTCGCTGCTGCAAAAACAACAAAAAGGTGGCCGCAAGTTCATTGCCGACGAAACGGACGCGGCCAGGGGTAAGCTCAACTTTTTCAGGGGAGACAAACGAAAGAACAGGTCAAACCTTCGCCCTCTAAGCCTTCGACCTGTGCACACGTACAGTTGTCGCGAAAACGTCACGCTGTCGAACACGGGAGAGGGTTGTCGCGAGCAGTACGAAAAAGGTAGCAGCCGATTGAGTGACAAGGATCCACCACCGCCAACGGCGTCTTAGGCATTCACCGAGCTACCCGCCTGCGTAAAAGCGCGGCCTCCTTGCCTACGGTGGAACTTGAACGTCAGGTATCCCAGGGTTCTACCCTAGGTGACACAAGAAATCATAACCCCTTGGAAGTGATTTTTAAAGCTCGATTGCTCCATGGCAGAAAGACTGGCGGCGTCATTAGAACCGTGTCATCCAGGGCAATCCGACAACGTGTCGTTGGATACGTACTCATTCTTCTCGTCGTCAAGTTTTCGAGCTTTGAAGATCGCTTCAGGGGGTGTGATATTTTGTGTCACCGACGGTGCCCGAAACTCGGTGCGCACCGTACAATGGTACTCATCCCGACACGTCCTTACCTCCATGACGACTTCCCCGTCTACGCTTGTCAGGCAGTGCCCCACTGGGATCTGAGCGCAGGGTCCGCCACCCTTAACACAACACATAGGCGGAGGTCGGACGGACGGGCGGTCAGAGGAAGGGGGACCAGGATAATCGGGGGCCGGTTGCTCAATATTTCACCTCATCTACATACTTGCAGTGTCGTCGCAAGCTTAGATGCGGGGGCGGGATGTACTGTTTGTAATGTCTTGAGCAGCTAGACCACTCGTCCTCGACAGGACGGAGCATTTTTTTTTTTTCTCCCATCATTGGACTCTGTCGTTTGCCCCTCTGGCCCCTATCCTCCACTTCTACTAGCTAGACGACCCAACCGGGGTCACATAGGAGGGGGGGGCTGGACCCCCTCCTACGGTTTCTGCCTGAGGTATTTTTATCGCGAGAAGGGTACAGCAATCCCTTCCCTCGCGACTTACGAAGTCGATTATGGTTTACTAACAACGAGCTTTGCAGCGCGTCGCTTTCATCCTAGACCAGGATATATTTAGAGACGCGGTTCCGTGCAGGGAGAGAGCGAGAGAGTGAGAGAAAGAGGCGCAACATCTCATCGCACCTTTGGCGCAACCCGTGTCGGAGCAGTCAACAAGAACCAGCTACCGGTCAGAAATCACCCAAGCAGTCAGACATACAAGACCGCCGGCCAAGATAATATGTGTGCCACGCAGGCAAGACTCCTGCTGGTATAGGTAGATCTTCCCTTCTCAAACCCACCCCATGACTCGGTCAAAAGGAGCAACTGGGTGGCAAATCCACATCGGTGGTCTGCCCGCCTCACCTGGAGGCTGCCAAGCAGGTATGAGTTGTCACCGATCTCGCTATCCTCCACCTGGACCCACAACGTCGCCGACACATTCCGGGGCTGCAGCATCATCGGTAAAAGATGTTACGGTGGGAGAAACAACAAGAGAACAAATAAACAAGTATGGGGCGATTCTTGGGTTGAAGCCTACAGGCGACTAAAGATCACTGCTGGTAGTCATTAGTCGACAATTCATACGGGTCCAAACACGTCAACAGCATACCGTAGGTTGCATGACGTAAGATACCACACCCCCGTAATCGATTTTCAAAGCTCGATTACTCCCCGACCAAGCGGGTGCCGAAGGCAAACGATACGTGTTCGGAAAGCCCTCGACGGCACGGTTCCAACTCCGCCCTTTTCAACACCGTCACTTTTTTCCTTGCCGAGCAATCAAGCTCTGAAATTCGGCCCAGGGTGTGTAATATGTCATGCAACCCACGTGCAGTCTACTGCTGTCGACATGCCATTACACATGCATAGTCGCTGTTAGTCTTGGCGCTTTAGACTGTACTACACAATGGCTAAACTATATTGCGCTTCGACCACACAAGCGCTCTCGTCACGAATGTGCATGGGGTATACGGTGTCGTCGACCGGCTCGTGAGGTGTGGCGTCAAGCGGAGCGTCGACCAACGAGCAACATAGAGTCAGCGCGCGTGTTTTTTTTTTTTTGGTGTCTGGTCTCTTCAGCTCCGCCTACTACAGCAATAGTACGTATTTTTAGAAAGAAGTCTAAACATAACCTCACAGGAAGACTACCCGTTCGAGATATAACCTCAGTCGAAAGGGGTGTGGTGAAGTTCTTTCAGTAAGTGGATTGAAACCAACTGGAGACTTGGCATATTTTGAGTTGATGTAAGCCTAACACCGAGTTATCAGGAATGCCAGTTGGAGCTTAGAACAAAAGCATTTGTATAGGCAGATACATTCTTAATTTTATGTGGAACGTGGCCTTCACAGGGAACATGGCGCATTTATTTTTCCTAATGTAATACACAGGAGTCGAAATCAGACTTGGCAGCCATTCACCTCAAATACAGGCAGCCAAGTATTCAATTAACATGTAAGGGTGTGGTGTGGGTGTCGTCTACAACATGTACAGCTCCGCTGCACAGCAGCAGTGGTGCAGCAGTTGCCATCATGTGTACCTTCACGCCTGCTTTCGCTGGCTCAAGAGCTGCCGTGCAAAGCTGAAGACACCAGCCGGGGGGGACCTCGACGGCCTCCTTCTGCCCAGGCTTAAGCACCATTCCGAAGAAGCCCATAGCTACGGAAGGCCAGCGTCTTTGGGGGCTGTGTCTATCGTGCAAGTGCGTGTTGGGGGAAGACGGTAATTTACCGCATGTGGCCGTGAATTGTTTGACACTCGGGGATAGTAGGGGATCATCCCCGGGTTTTCACACGTACCTGGAATTTTGGTTCTCACATTGACCGCGGGACCGCGTGGATGGTGTAACGGCTGCCGTGAGCGCTCTGCAGGGCTATCGTCGCTGCGGACAGCGTCATCACAACTCCAACTCTCTAACCCTTGACGCTCGAGAGCCATACATTTTTCAACGAATCGAGCACTGCCGAGACCCAGCGGACTGCAAGGCAGCGGACATCATCGGCAACAACCTGGATTCATCCACATGGTCGGTAGACTACATATACATAAGGAATCGACCGCGTCGAGTGTTGGATCAGTACGGACATACGAATGTACTGGGTAGAGAGAGATCGGAACGGTTGTTAATGTGAAGACAACAGCAACAACAACTGTGACATGCACAGCTGTGAACACAGCAGCAGTCACACTGAACTATGCATGAATGACAGCTTGATCCGTAGGAGGCTCCCGCTTTGTGTGCGGTCAACTCCGAAAGTTGTTGGCAAAAGGTACTGATGATGCGCTCGATCCCAGAATTGCTACTACTGCTGTATAAATATAGAATATCTAAGCTAGAAGACTAGAGATGGGCCAATGGGACACACTGGGCTGTACCTGAGCCTGAGGCCGTTTCTTACCGTTTGAATAATTCTAGTTGAAAATTGAAATTTTCAATTCCCAGCCGAACAGAGCTTCTTACGGTTTGGAAAATCGAAATTTTTGAGAGATAAATTTTTCAGGGTAGTCCTCGGTACCAGTTTTTTTGACGGTACCAAACGGGATAGTAATGCAAAATGACGGTACTTTTTTGACGGTTGACGGTACTTCGTTTTTTGACGGTACCACTTTTGGCGGTCCACGGTACCGCCGAATTTGCCGGTACTTTTTCGACGGTATTGAAAAATGACGGTACTTTTTTCGCGGTTGACGGTATTTCGTTTTTTGACGGTACTTTTTTGACGGTTGACGGTACTTCGTTTTTTGACGGTACTTTTTTGACGGTATTGAAAAATGACGGTACTTTTTTGATGGTACCGAAATATGACGGTACTTTTTTCGCGGTTGACGGTATTTCGTCGTGCCGGGCGGTGATGAAGTATCCCGGCACCGCCCCTGTGATTACGTGATTTCCTGAATAGACACAACGCCACCACGGCATAGATCAAACATCAAATATCAAATTTAATTGAATATCAAATCGTCAAATTGAGAAACCGTCAAACGGAGCAGCCTCACGCGAACGCAACAACAGGAAACGTGAAATGTGAAATCCAGCTGGTGAAAACATGCCACACGAAAAAAAGAACAGGAAACAAGATAACAAGAAAACCTGAAGAAAACAGACGGACAGATCGATGCGATCGAAAACCAAAACAGGAACATGCCAAGACCAAAAGAAAAAAAAAACTAAGATATAAGATATAAGTAGTCGACTCTTACACTTTTACCTCCCTCTGCCCCATGCAAGCCTAGACTCCTGCTGTCAGCCGTCACCCATAGCCACTTTCGTCTACAAGCAAAGGTCAACTGTTTGGTTCGCCCTCTCCTCCTGAGCAGCCATCGAGCTCTGTGCGACCTTAGTTTTCGCAGCTTTCGCCTTCACGACTGCAGCGTCCAGCTCGCGGACTTCGGCAACCAAGTGCCTGTTCAGCCTGATGAACATCATGCGCTCAACCTTGCTTGGAAGCATGTTGCAGCGTAGTTGGCCGATCAGGTGAGCAAGCGCTGAGAAATTGCGTTCGGCCTGACAGCTGGTGGCCTCGATCCCGAGGTACAACCGAGCGATGAACGCTAGGTAGGGTATTTCTGCCGGAGATGTGACCTTGCCAGTCGTCGCGGACACGCTGTCAGTGCCCCGCCTATTCCAATACCCCAGAACGTTGAAACCATCGACATCGAGCTGTGGATTTTCGGCCAGGTACACCAAAACCTCCCGTTCGATCAGCACGCGCCGGGTCGTGGAGGGAGACTGGTCCTCGAGAGAACCGGTCTCATCGCCGCCGGTGGTAGCTGCCGCCACACGTGCCGCGCGCCGTTCCTCCAATCTCGAGAGCTTCTTCTTCTTGGGTGCGGGTTCCACCGGGTCGAGGTTCATTACTGGTGCTGGCGCTGGCGCCGCCGTAGCCGGCCCGACGTCAAACTTGGCGATGACCGCTTTCAAGTCGTCTTCGGCCTTCTTCCTGAGATCTGCAGAACCGTTCTCGAGTTGGTCGCTGTCAAGCGACTTTCGCCTCGGGTCCATCAACGCGGACAGACGCTCCACAGCAACCTGAGCGCTCCCCACCCCCTTTTCTCTCATCTTTTCCTGCAGCACCTCAAGCACGCACTGCGCCTCCGCGGTCAGGTCCATAACCTGAGTGTCGTCCGTGGGGATGCCTTCCGGTGGGAGCGGCATGACAGTGGCGTTCGGCTGTCGGATTGGGTGGGTGTCCTCCCCCAGCATCTCGATCAGCTCGTGTAGGATGAACATCGCCTGGCCGACATGCGTATCGACGGACCCTTGCATCCGTATGGTGACCTCGGAAACGTCGCTCAGGAGGCTGCACACCTCGTTGGTGATGGTCCACTCGTTCGGTGTCAGCTTGCGCTCGTTCTGGGGGTATTTCTTGAAATACTCGGAGATGGGCTTCTTCAAGGCTAGGACACGGTCCATCATCTTGAACTGGCTGGTCCACCTTATCATGGGGACACAAGTCGTAAAAGGCAAAAGGGAACATCGTGAGACATCGGAGAGTGGAGGTGGGGTCGGTTGAGCACGGTGAAGCTGTCCAGTTGTTTCATTGTTTTAAATTTTAAATTTTAAATTTTAAATTTGCAGTTTCGCCACAAATCGCAAATCGAAAAATATATAAACTCCTCACTCCTCACAAATTACAAATTATAAATTGTAAATTACTGCAAATTACCTCGTGTCGTTCCGCCTGAGAAGCTCGTAGATGCGCGAAAAGCCCTCTTCTAGCCTCTGGAGTTCCTTCAGCTCGTCGTTGTTGACGGCGGAGTGGCTGAAGACACCAACCATCGCTGCCAGCTTCTTCATGAGTGTGCCCATCGCTGGGTTCAACCTCCCTTTCCCGGCAATGCCCAACGCCCACACGACTGCGGTGTTGAGGCGGTGGCAGTTGCACTCGACCACCGTAACACCCAACGCCGTACACGCGTTGATGATGTTCTTTCCTTGATCCACCGTAAACGCGAGGAAGACGTCCGAGGGCTGTACAGACTCGCCCATGAATCCCGAAAAGTACTCTAGCGTGAGCTGCGAATTGCGGGACGTGACGACAGATGGGACATGATTAAGAAGTACGAATAATAGCAGTAAACACGTGAAAGTAGGAACTATATTTCTATGTAAGAAGCACCAGGTTATCCGATACTCTATTATATATTATTTATTATATAGTTGTCCACTGGTGTTCGAATCCGCGTGTGTTCATATTTTATTTTTTATATTTTCTTTCTCTCAAGACACGATTTCAACAAACTAGTTTCAAGAAACAAGAAACGACAAACACAAAAAAAACACAAGAGCAACACGCGACAGCAATCGTACATGCAGCCACGAAACAAAACCAATGCGCCTCACCTTCTCAATCCAGGGTTGGATATCCTCGGCAGTGTGGCTCCCGGGAAACGCTCGTGCCGCAAGCGCGATGCGGGTCATGTCCGTATCGCCCTTCTTCACGAACGTTACGGTGAAGGTGATGTATTCCTCGCCGGCCGCTGTTGTAAGATCCAGCTGGGCACCAAGGAAGGGTCCCGAATACCCCATGCCGAGGTTCTCCTCTCGTAGCGTCCGCAACTCGCCCACGACGGATGAGAGCACCGTGCCGTAAAGCTCGTCCAAGGTCTGGTTAAACGTGCTCTTCGCCATTGTGGTTGTCACGTACTCCGGGGACAGAGACCCCAAGAAGAGCTTGAAGCCTTGGTCGAACCGCAGTTGCTCCGGCCTCAGGTCGATGCAGCACCAGAGGACGAAACGGCGGTCGGCAGCATCCTTCCGTGCCTTGGTCATCGTCGGCACCATGTAGTTCATGAGCGACGATGAGCTCGGTGCGCCTGCCGATGGACCTGCTGCCGATTTGCCCACTTTGATCACAGTGCACGCACCAGAGGACAACGAAAAAAAGCAGAAAGCAAGAAGGTCGAGCAGGGCCATGGTGACTACTTACTGTATAATCTATACACACGGCCATCCTATTGTTTTATTTTTATTTTTTCTGTTTTCTGTTTTCTGTTTTCTTTCAGGTTCCCATTGTATATCTTATATTTTATAATGTTGCAGATATTTTGTAAAAAAAACAAGCTTCCCTCACCCTTGCAGATCTAGCGGCACACTATCCGCAAACCGCAACGTAGTGTAAGGGGGGGTGGTATTCCCCGTTATCATTTTCAGCTGATCATTTAATCATTTTTTATTTTTGATATTTATATATTTATTCTCCCAGCATATATTCTGTCACTCGTGATTCTTTATTCTTTAGTCTTGGGCAAAAAAAAAAAAACTCACCGAGTGCTGCCACAATGGGTGCTGTGTTGTCCTCCGATGCGCCTACTTTGGCCTTGTGTTTGTCCACCTCGCTCTTGTGACATATCTCGAGGTGCTTGGAAATCCCAGAAGTTCCCGTCCCTTTCTTGCCGAGTGCTGCTCCTTCCCACTTCATCAGGCGGCCACAGGGCGTCCCATCAGCCTTCTTCACCAAACACACCACGTTCTTCCCGTTGATGGACGGGCTGAATCTACTCGCAAAGTTCCACGTCCAAGATGTCAACCTCCTTTTGCCCTCCATAGGCTCTTCGAGTGTGACTTTCACGGTTTTGCCTTTCCCAACGTCGATCGAGGCTTCACTCTCGGGTGGGACTTGCAACACTGGCACGCTCGGAACCACCGATTCACTTCCATCCCCATCCACCGAATCGCCAGCAGCAGCACCAGCAGCCTCGACACTGCTGCTGCTAGTACCACCGGCATTCCCCTGTACAGCTGCCATCTTTCTGGTTCTGCTGGACCGCACACACTCTTTGGACCGCGGGTGGGGTCTGTGTGGCTGCAGGCCGCTCTTCTCTTGCGCGACCATCAACTTCCAAGTCAAAACCAAGAAAAAGGTTCTACCCAAACGTAACAAAGCAGCCCGATGGAACCATCAACAAGAAAAAAAAAGACGAAGAAAAAAAAAAAGAGCTGAAAAACAAAAAAAAATATGTATACACGCGAATTCGAACTCAAGTTCCTATCCGCAGCAGGTCAACAGGGCAAAATACATGCCAGCTGGCAATGCCTCACGGTCGATGGTACTTCGTTTTTTGACGGTACTTCGTTTTCTGACGGTACTTTGGCGGATGACGGTACTTCGTTTTTTGACGGTACTTTTTTGACGGTACCGAAATATGACGGTACTTTTTTGGCGGTTGACGGTACTTCGATTTTTGACGGTACTTTTTCGGCGGTATTGAACAATTACGGTACTTTTTTCACGGATGACGGTACTTCGTTTTTTGACGGTACTTTTTTGACGGTTGACGGTACTTCGTTTTTCGACGGTACTTTTCTGACGGTACCGCAATGTCACGGTACTTTTTTGACGGTACCGAAATATGACGGTACTTTTTTGGCGGTTGACGGTACTTCGATTTTTGACGGTACTTTTTCGGCGGTATTGAACAATTACGGTACTTTTTTCACGGATGACGGTACTTCGTTTTTTGACGGTACCGCCGAATATGACGGTATTCCGCGGAGTACCGTATCCGACCTACACGACGGGGAAAAAACGTCGGGAATTTTCCCGAGGACTACCCTGAAAATTTTCAACTCGGGCCATAAAAAATTGGAAACGCTCTGCGCAGTTGAAAATTTAGAATTTTTCAAGTCGCGACCGAGTTGAAAAAGCTAGTTGGAAATCCAAACCTAGGGGGGGGAGGTGCACCACACAGACGCCCCACAGCACAGCACAGCACAGCGCGTGGCAGTCTAGCACAGTGCCTCGCACGCGCAGACCCGGTGCTTTGTTGTCAGCGCGGTGCGCCCCATAACATGGGCCCGGCGACGATCTGTTGGAAGCAACAGTCAGTGCTGTCAGTCGCGTTGGCGGCTTTGCACCAGATCCAAGAGGAGGATGGTCGCCGGCGCACAGCACGCTCGGTATCCTATTGGGATGCTGTGCTGTTCGACGAGGATTCGAAGGACGAGGAGGAAGTCGTCGGCCCGAAGGTTGAGAGGACACGACGCGCCACGCAGCGGAGGGATCGGCGTACCTCTGCCTGGTGGAAGCAGCAGCAGCGCATCGGAGTAGTAGTTGTTCGCGCCTTGCAGCAGCAGTGGTTCCACTAGCGGGATGGTGTTGCGTGGTTTGACTAGCGGCATGGTGTTGCGTCGTCTGGCGGGGGTGTAATTGTGAACCCCCCCCCCCCTGTTTTTAGTTTCCAATTCCGTCGATCCGTAAGAAGGCTGCTCTATTTTGTTTGTTATAGGCTCAAGAATTCTGGCATTATTTTTCTAATCAAAAATCGATCAAGGCCCTAACTTCCACGCTCCTTCCTCTTGCTTCCTCAGCTAGTTGTTTGACTGCACTAGCGTTCTCTTCCCCGAGACGCGGGTGCACAAGAAGACTGAAGACATTGCACGCAGGGGACGCTCAGCACCCGTCCCCTGCTTTCTTTCGAATTCAACAAACGCCTTCCACAAACAACGCTTTCCTTCTGAACGCTACATTTTGTTATAGGCTCAAGAATTCTGGCATTATTTTTCTAATCTTCTACGAGAAAAAATGATGAAGACCCGAGACAATATAGATCACATGTAGACGAACCGTACCTCCACTCTTGTGGGTCCTGCCCCTACGATGTCCCTATACGATACTCGAATTCACGACTCAGCCAATCCGGTACGAGAATAGCCTCTTCCAAGCTATCTGAAAACCACGCCATTGTGCAGGCTGAGTGTACTGTTTTACTCTCATCTTCCTCCTGTAAGTCCCACGGAAACCGTTTCTGCTCCTTCTCCCGCTTCCCTTACGTACACCATGAACGCTCGCGACTTCCAACGCCCAGCCCGCTGAATCTGCAAGTCCGACACGCCTTGCGCGGCTAATTGCGTGGCGCCACCAATGCGACCCGAGTGCAACGCGTACTGTGCCGGATCCTTCCCTGCACAAGCAACCATCCTCCTCAGCGCGACTACAGCTTCCGCGCGAGTAACCACCTTCCACCCATTTGCACCCATCCTCGTCATCAAAGGGGCACGTCCGGGAAGGCTCCGGTGGACGTTCAGGAGCTCCACGATCGCTTCGAAGGCTCCGAAAGGCGCCCTACCAGGTTCCTCCGATCTCGGGCTGCGGGTGCGCGTGATCGTGCATCCCTCTCGATTCTGATCTGCTTTTGACGCCACGAAATGAATCCTGACTGAATCCGCGCGCGCTCTATCTTCAGTCTCCACTTGAATGTCTCCTTGAAAAAACCTCAAGCAGTCACGCGTCAAACAGAAATCTGGATGGACGAGGCCGTTCGCGTACGCGAACAATTCCGAAGCTCGGCACAAGAGAAAATACGACAGCGTCAGTCCTAACCAGAAAACTTTTCCTCCATCCGGAGCGCTCGCGACGGTATGGTAGCCTTGGGACAACATCGACCACGTGAGGGGCAGCCTCACTTGCGCTTGCTTGCCCGTCATCCCTCGAATGCGATCAATCCCTTTCCCTGCCGCCGTAATCATACAGTGCGACGTGGGAGGCTCCCACCCCGTACATAGCTTATGGTAAAACTTGATCGCTGCGAGGTATCCCCGAACTGTGGACTGCTGGTTGTTGAACGAAAACAAGCGACACGTCATAAATTCGAGGAGGAGCGCGACGATCTCGGACTCGTCCATCGAGTTCAACCACGGTTCTTTACCCTTGTGTTTCATAAAATCCAACCATGTCTTCCACTTCGCGGCGTACACCTTATGCGTGCTTCCCCCGATCGACGCGCTCACTAAAGTATCCACCAACCGCGCGACTTCCGTGCTCATCCCCTCTCCTTCCCGCCCTGTTCCTGAAGCGTCCGTAAGCGGAGGGTTCGAGGATAACGTTGGAGGTCACGGGGGTGTTTTGTCGATGAATTTTAGTGAGGTGTCATCATGAGATTCCATAACGTTCGATCGTGACGGGGTTGTAGGTTCTTTTTCTGCAGCACGAAGGAACACACTTTTTCTCCGCGTGAACCGAGTGGTATTTCGCGCCAATCGTTTGTGTTGGTGAATCTTTGGACCCTATCGGCTAGTTCCGACCTTGGCCATCGAGAAATCCCGTCCGCGAGCGTGTTTTTTACGCCCGGGATGTGTTTTGCCTCGTAACTCCATTCTCCCGAAATCTCGAGTCGTCCTAGCATTCTCATCATCAAACACGCGCGTTTGTCTCTGGCCCCGCCGCACCGGTTTGACCATGTGACGGCCGCCATGTTGTCACCTCGCATCAAGACAGGGTCGTTGTTGTTTTTTGGGCGATCCCCTACGAGGCTGTGCATTACCCAGGCGGTCATTACCATGCCCACGAGTTCGAGTAGATTGATCGTGACGCTACAGGTCTCCCGACGCGCGGCCTTTTGTTTCAATTCGGTTGCGAAGTCCAAGGGCAATTCGTATCGCCAAAACACCCTTTTTTCTGGACAGAAGCCGCCAATGGCGTCGAAACTAGCGTCTGATAGATAAAGTCGTTTTGGCTGGCGTTTTACGACACCGTAGCACGGGGCGTTCAGCGACTCTCCAGCTGTGAGCAATTCGTGTTCGATTGCCCACCTGAAAAAATCTAGGTCGTCGTGGAACTCTCTCCCTAGTTCTACAACGTGGCTACAGTTTCTCGTGTGTTTCCTGTGGAGTCCTGTGAGTCTCAACAACCTCCAGACGAAGTACTTTCCGGCCCGAACCACGTACGTGAGGTTCCACAGCTTCCCGGCTATGCTAAACACTTCTTGCGCTGTCGCTTCACGCTTGTGGCGCGGCCAGTCGATTTCTAAGGCTGTTTTTAACGCCTCTGCTTTCTTTGTCGTCAAAGAGATTTTTAGCTTGTGCGAGTCGATGACGAAACCTAAGTATTCAAGCTGCGTGTCCCAATTCGAACTCTTCTTCGGCGCGAGTATAGGAGTCTCCCCCGGTTCTCCCGGGCCGAACAAGCGAACGTAGTCTGATGCTAAAGACGCGGACACGGTCAGCGCTGACAAGTCGTCGGGCGATTGCTGGGTTCTCAGGAGGCCGTGATCATCTACGTAAACGACTGACATGAAATTGCTCGACCGATCGCCTCCTTTTGTGGCGTGAACTGTGGCGTCGTCCGGCACGGGCGTAGGGTCGCCTTCCTCCCACGGTTCAACGATTTTTACATGCTTCATCATGTTTACTCCTTCGGGCAGCAACTGCACGCTGTCGAGATTGGTATTACAGTGCGAGTGTTCAGCCGCGGACGCCATAACTCCGAAATGTCCCGGCGAGCCGGTCCAACCGAAAGTCAGGCGGAAATCGATGACGACGAGGTCGTCGACTACGTAGCTGAAGTTGTGCGCTTGCTCAGGTTCTACTCGAACGTTGCGATAGGCGTCGTTGACGTCCGTCGTTGACATGAGGATGCGGAGCTTCGGGTTTTTGGCTCGAAGGCTAACTAGCTCCGACAGGAATTTTGGCAGAGCTTCGGCGCAGAGGCTAGGGGGTACACTGTCGACGTCTGTGTCAGCGTTGAGACCTCCTTTTACTCCTTTGTTGTCAGCGTCGAAAGACAAGTCGTTGATTATCCTAACCTTGTGGGTAACGACCGCTCCCAGCGGCGACACGCGGAGGTTTGGGATTTCATACGCCGCCGATTTTTGAATAACGAGACATCTCTCTCTTCGTACATCCTCTGCGAGTTTCTTCCAAATGAGTGGTAGGTGCTCGTCAGCCGACCGGTGGTTTCCGTAGTTCAGTGCGCTTGCAAGGTCCGCTTTAGACGGGGGGGCACTCACTGGTACCCCTCCAGTAACGATTGTCATCAGTTCTTCGATCTGTGGAAAACCTTTTAGGTCCCCAAAATATTGTCTGACGTGGTTCGGGTCTACCGGTGGTGTGACCAGGGTTCCGCCGAGCGACCGTGCTACCTTCCCTACCGAACCACGGTTGTCTCGCATCATTTGTGTGCAAACCTCTGCTAGTTGATACAGAATTTGTTCTCTCTCTGGTTGTTCAAGGTTTGTTTTTCCGAGTGTTGCTCTGTCCTCGTGCCACCTCGCCACGTGTTTTCGCTGTGTTTCACTGCGCCCTTGGCCATTGGGAATCGATGATGACCCGACGTGGGGAGGGCTACGATGACGCAAGACTCGTTGTTCCGTGGTGTAGGTCGAGCGCAGTCCTACAGGAGGTTGTATATTGCGCTGGAGCTGCTGCGTGGGGGTAAAGTTTGCGTGGTGCGTGAGAGACGGTTGTCGTCGTAGTGCCGACCCTTGGACCTTTGCTGGCAGGGTGGGACTTCGAGGACAGGTCGTGTCTGACGCGCCAGGCGCGGTGACCGAAGTGAGAAGCGTCGATCGTGCCTCGTCTGGTACACGTGCCTCGTGGGGCTGTGTGCGAGACGGGCGATGGGTCGCCGCTGACTCCTTCAAGGCTGCGAGCGGCGTTGGAGACGTTGGCTGCCGCGCGTCTGACACGGAATACCCCGGGGGGCGTGTGAGAGGCGAGGCGAGCCCCGTGTCCGAAACGCCGCCTTCTACGCGTTGTGGGAGAGACGAAAGTCTCCCTGTGTCCGACACAGCTACGTCTGCGGCTTGTGTGGGAGACAGGTGACATGACGTGTCTATCTTTGTGGTAAGAGGTGATACTCGTTGGTCTGCTTCGCGTGTTCGTGGCGGCATCTCGTCAATTCGTGTAGGAAACGGTGGTTGTGCCGACATTTCGAGGGTTCTGGCCCTGGAGTGTGGGGACAACCTACTATCCGATCGTACAGGTGGGCGAGATTCGGCTACGTCGAGGTTTGTGGAGCTACCAGACGGGTTCGTGTGGTTGGTCCACTTATACCTTGCTGCGCGAGCGCTATTGCTCAACGTGAGTTGTGTATTGCGCTGGAGCTGCTGTGTAGGGGTGACGTGTGCGTGGTGCGTGAGAGACGGTTGTCGTCGTAGTGCCGACCCTTGGACCTTTGCTGGCAGGGTGGGACTTCGAGGACAGGTCGTGTCTGACGCGCCAGGCGCGGTGACCGAAGTGAGAAACGTCGATCGTGCGTCGTCTGGTACACGTGCCTCGTGGGGCTGTGTGCGCGACGGGCGATGGGTCGCCGCTGACTCCTTCAAGGCTGCGAGCGGCGTTGGAGACGTTGGCTGCCGCGCGTCTGACACGGAATACCCCGGGGGGCGTGTGAGAGGCGAGGCGAGCCCCGTGTCCGAAACGCCGCCTTCTACGCGTTGTGGGAGAGACGAAAGTCTCCCTGTGTCCGACACAGCTACGTCTGCGGCTTGTGTGGGAGACAGGTGACATGACGTGTCTATCTTTGTGGTAAGAGGTGATACTCGTTGGTCTGCTTCGCGTGTTCGTGGCGGCATCTCGTCAATTCGTGTAGGAAACGGTGGTTGTGCCGACATTTCGAGGGTTCTGGCCCTGGAGTGTGGGGACAACCTACTATCCGATCGTACAGGTGGGCGAGATTCGGCTACGTCGAGGTTTGTGGAGCTACCAGACGGGTTCGTGTGGTTGGTCCACTTATACCTTGCTGCGCGAGCGCTATTGCTCAACGTGAGTTGTGTATTGCGCTGGAGCTGCTGTGTAGGGGTGACGTGTGCGTGGTGCGTGAGAGACGGTTGTCGTCGTAGTGCCGACCCTTGGACCATTTCTGGCAGGGTGGGACTTCGAGGACAGGTCGTGTCTGACGCGCCAGGCGCGGTGACCGAAGTGAGAAACGTCGATCGTGCGTCGTCTGGTACACGTGCCTCGTGGGGCTGTGTGCGCGACGGGCGATGGGTCGCCGCTGACTCCTTCAAGGCTGCGAGCGGCGTTGGAGACGTTGGCTGCCGCGCGTCTGACACGGAATACCCCGGGGGGCGTGTGAGAGGCGAGGCGAGCCCCGTGTCCGAAACGCCGCCTTCTACGCGTTGTGGGAGAGACGAAAGTCTCCCTGTGTCCGACACAGCTACGTCTGCGGCTTGTGTGGGAGACAGGTGACATGACGTGTCTATCTTTGTGGTAAGAGGTGATACTCGTTGGTCTGCTTCGCGTGTTCGTGGCGGCATCTCGTCAATTCGTGTAGGAAACGGTGGTTGTGCCGACATTTCGAGGGTTCTGGCCCTGGAGTGTGGGGACAACCTACTATCCGATCGTACAGGTGGGCGAGATTCGGCTACGTCGAGGTTTGTGGAGCTACCAGACGGGTTCGTGTGGTTGGTCCACCTATACCTTGCTGCGCGACCGCTATTGCTCAACTTGAGTTGCTCACCGTGAAACAGGGCCGGCGAAACCGACCCCGGCGTGGGCGCGTCCCGAGGCCCCACGGACCTGGCGACGTCGGCGAACCAGGTACCAGCGCGTCCTGACTCCCCTCCCGCACCTACTGTCGGCCCTGCCGTATGGCAGAGCCCAACCTGTCAGAAACCTCCCCTCCCCCCGCCGCCCCTCCCTCCGGCGCCGCGCCCCTGGTTCCCTCCTCCACCGCCCCTGCCGCCGTGGACCGTCATGCTGAAGTTGCCCACGCTGGGCTGGCGGAGCTGCTGCTGCTGCTGCTGCTGCGATGGTAGCGGCTGCGGCGCCGCCGCCTGCTGCGGCGGGGCCTGCGGGGGTGGCGGGACCTGCGGGGGTGGGGAAGCGGCGGAGGTGGCGGAGGCGGGACCGGCGTGTACGTGGTGGAGTTGGCAGTCTGGGATACGGCACTGGCGGCTGAACCACCATCCCTTGCAAAAACCGGGGGGGCACGTCGGGGTCGTGGTCGTGGTCCGCTGCCGCTTGGTTGTCGCTGTCTTGGCCCCGGCCGTTCCGCTCTTCCGCTTTGCACTCGTGGCGGGGGCGAGGGCGGCGGCCACGGTGGGGAGAGGCCATTGGGCTGCCTTTTCCGCGAGACTCTGGGTGTGATCTTCCTCGAGCAAGGTCTTCAGGAGCTTGAATCGCGGAAATGGGACGGCATCCGTGGCGTCCGCGGTGGGGGGGCCGTCCTGGTGCGTCCAGCGTAGGTCGTATGCCATCTTGTGTAAAATGCGGAAACCGTCTTCCAAGCCGCGGTTGATGGCATCCAGGAGGACGTTGCGGACCCGGTTTTCATGGGGCTGCAGGCCTGTGTAGTGGAGGGTGAGGTACGTAGCCAGCTTCCTTGTAATCGATGCGAACTCCGCCCTCCAGGCCGCGACGCGAAGCTTGGCATTCTCCTCGGCCGTGTCCATGCCGTACTCGATCGTTTTGAACAGCACGGTGATGAAGGTGTCGAAGTGGACCGTTACGGGCATGGCAGCGAGGGCGGCGTTGGCGGACTTGGGCGGGAAACAGTGCTCGATTTTTATGTCCGTCAGGCTACACATCTGTTTCCCTCCCTGCTCTGTGATGTGTGAGTATTCGCCGGCGACCATTTTAACGAAGGGCACGTCGACCGGGGCGCGAGTGTCGAATCCGCCCCGCGCGAGGAGCCACAGGGGGCCCGTCGCTTTCCAGTCCTCAGCCCTCATCTTCTCCGTCATCTTCGACCCCGCGGTCGCCGGGGCGGGCGGCGCGGCGCTAGCGGCCACCACCGGTGCGTTGACGGGAGGAAGAAAGCCGCCGGCGGGTTGTTGCTGCTGCTGCTGTGGCTGCTGCTGCTGTTGTGGCTGCTGCTGCAGCTGCTGCTGCTGCTGCTGCTGCTGCTGCTGCTGCAGGATCTGTCCCTGCTGCGCCACCTGTTGGTGTAAGGCCGCCATTTGAGCTTGGTGAGCGTTCATGAACTGGGTGAGCATGGCCTGGATACCGCCGAGTGGGTTCGCGCCGGCACCCTCCTCTGGTCCGTTGTTTGCCGGGGGGGCGTCGCCGCCGTTGTGCACGGCTGCCGGGGGAGCGGCTGCAGCTGCGGCTGCGTCGGCGGCTGCGACAGCGGCTGCGGCAGCGTTTACAGCGGCGGCAGCGTCTGCGGCGGCGGCGTTGGGTGCAGCGGCGTTGGGTGCGGCGCCGTCATACGCGGGTGCGGCTTCGGCCGCGGCTGCGTCTGCTGCTATCTTTGCCTGGACCGCATTTTGCACTGATGGATCCATGGGCAAAATCGATCAAGGCCCTAACTTCCACGCTCCTTCCTCTTGCTTCCTCAACTAGTTGTTTGACTGCACTAGCGTTCTCTTCCCCGAGACGCGGGTGCACAAGAAGACTGAAGACATTGCACGCAGGGGACGCTCAGCACCCGTCCCCTGCTTTCTTTCGAATTCAACAAACGCCTTCCACAAACAACGCTTTCCTTCTGAACGCTACATTTTCCGAGTTGGATCTCGGAATTACAATTTTCAATTTTTCAACTGGATTTTTTCAAACCGTAAGAAACCGCCTAAGCGTGTACTGCTGCACGTTGACTGCTGTACGTTGTGCGAGGTAATCTCCCTACAGTGCATTTTATCCCAACGGTACAACGCACCTACTTTGTGCAACCTTACCGACACAAGGAATGTACTTCGTGCAAACTTGAAGGCCAAGGTGCTGACTCTGTGCCACCTTGAAGGTTTGTTGCTGTTGTTGTTTTTCTCCCATCATTGGACTCTGTCGTCTGCCCCTCTGGCCCCTATCCTCCACTTCTACTTCTACCAGCTCGACGACCCAACCGGGGTCACATAGGAGGGGGGGGTTGAACCCCCTCCTGCGGTTCCTGCCTGGGATGTTTTTATCGCGAGAGGGGTACAGCGATCCCTTCCCTCGCGACTTATTATGAAGTCGACCAAGTTTCCCAACAACGAGCTTTGCAGCGCGTCGCTTCCAACGGAGACCAAGATTAACTAAGCGAGAAAAAACTAACTCTGTCGGGACTCGAACCCATGACCTGGCCCTTAGCAGGCTGCGAGGCTACCCACTAGACCACCGGGGTGAATGTACAAGGTGGTGACTCCAGTATAAATTATTGTAGGCAGTGTTGTGTGCAACCGTTTCGACATATAGCGTCGGCGGAAGTATTTTTCGAAATTTGTCTCGTTTATTTTCGTATCATTATCGTGACTCTTGTTCATGTAGTAGTCTACACGCCACGTGGACGCGTTCAAACTGTTCTCAACAACAAGAACAAACGTATTCGAACACGGACGACGCGTCCGAACGATGTTCCCCTGATAGATCAAAGGGGGCTACTGTAAAAAGAGGGAAGAATCGTCCTCGAAAGACGTTGAGGAGATTGTACCTTTATGAAGGTGGTCTCCACATTACCCCCCCCTTTTTCGAGACTGCTTCTTGTCTGCTAGGCAAGAGAAGTCTTCTTGGGATAACCGGAACCCGACCGGCTGGCGGCAGGGCGATTCTCTTTTCTTCACAACCCTCTGTGCGTGATTGTACGGATTTGCTACGTCCGCCACGTCATCAGAACTTCCGAGTTCGATAGCCGGTGCGTCCTTCCATGGCCCACCTACCGTTTATCTTTTTCCGTTGTCCAGGAGAAAAAATGGTGAGCAGCGGGTTTTGAACCTGTCGAGGCAACAGCACCGTCACTGCAGTAGCTGGCAACAGCACCGCCACTTCAGTAGCTGTACAGCTATTTAGCTGTAGTAGCTGCAAAGTAGCTGGCATGTGATGCGAGGTTAGGTAGGCAAACACACAAAGTGATCTTATTATCCACACAGACGCCCAAGCTGTCTTCACCTGACGGTTGCAGACTTGGCAACGCCTTCACAATACTGCATAAACCCATGCAGTAGAATAGAGTCGTTGTTGTACTCACTATACTGTAACTACTCCAACATGTCCTCTCAAGAACTACGTCATTCTAGTACCAATGCATCAGATCCAATTCTCTCTCACTGTCCTCTAGAAACAATGTCAAAAAGGTCATGGATATTGTGTGATACCCCGGCACAGTGGCTAGAGGCTGTGTCGTCGATGATAGTCGATGTGGTGACACTTGTGAAGTGTTGCCTGGAGGACTATGTAGAGGTGCTTCCGTGTTGTAGAGAAGATGTCGTGGATAACGTAAACACTGGCACTTATGTGGCCAACACACACACACAGATAAACCGCAGAGCATGCAGGAGCCCAGACGACGGCTGCTTCCCAGAGATGACCAGGACAGCTGAGATGCCATGATGTTCAGAAGGATGCACATGAGAAAGTGAGACAGTCGTCCAGACAAGCGTCGAATCCTACAGAAGTATTCCTCCGCATGCGTTACATACGAACAGACATAGGTGCTTCCGTGTTGTAGAGAAGATGTCGTGGATAACGTAAACACTGGCACTTATGTGGCCAACACACACACACAGATAAACCGCAGAGCATGCAGGAGCCCAGACGACGGCTGCTTCCCAGAGATGACCAGGACAGCTGAGATGCCATGATGTTCAGAAGGATGCACATGAGAAAGTGAGACAGTCGTCCAGACAAGCGTCGAATCCTACAGAAGTATTCCTCCGCATGCGTTACATACGAACAGACAGAGGTGCTTCCGTGTTGTAGAGAAGATTTTGTGGATAACGTAAGCACTGGCGCTTATGTGGCCAACACACACTCACAGATAAACCGCAGAGCATGCAGGAGCCCAGACGACGGCTGCTTCCCAGAGATGACCAGGACAGCTGAGATGCCATGATGTTCAGAAGGATGCACACGAGAGAGCGAGACAGTCGTCCAGACAAGCGTCGAATCCTACGAAAGTACTCCTCTGCATGCGTTACATACGAACAGACAATACGAGATCTATGATGATCCACGATATACAAGAGCAGTGCTACGGAACATTGATTCATGCTGGCTATGTGCTAACATTTTCATAACACTCCCCCTCAATGAAAGTTGCTCTGAATTTGTATCAAACTCATTCTGAAGTCAAGTAAGAAGATCCATTTCATTTCATGTGTTTCGACCACAACATATTTAATGTGCTTGCTTAATGATTATTTCACAAACCAAATACCACAGCTTCCAATCCTACATGGCTCGTTCAACCAGTGATGGTATGAGCCCGAATGTTATTACCGAAAGAGTAGACTAAAAGTAAACACACAAACATGTAACACTACTATATATTTGAACTTGCTGTTGATGAAGTCGTTCACGTTGAAATTCTTGATGATGTTGAGTAGGAGTTGGAAGCGGTCCTTGTTGAGGTGCTTGGTGCCGATGTCGGCGGGGTTGCTGTCGGCCGGGACGTAGTGGATGGCGATCCTTCCCTCCGACACGAGCTCTCGGATAAAGAAGAATCGAAGCGCGATGTGCTTCGTGGTCGAGCTGTAGGAACGGTTCCCCAGCGAGTGTAGGGTCGCCGTGTTGTCGCCGTACAGCGGTACTTGCGCAAGCTCCTTGCCGAATCCAAGTTCAGTCAGTATGTTGGAGCAGAACACTGCTTCCTTTATCGCCAGAGCCGCAGCAACCAGCTCCACCTCCATGGTCGATTGAGTAGTCAGGCTTTGTAGCCCAGACTTGAACGCCATCGGTGCATCGCATAGCATCGTTAGGTGACTAGAGGTGGACTTTCCGTTGTCCGGGTTGTTTCCCCAGTTGGAGTCCGTGAAGGCTGTAAGCTTGAAGCCTCCCCTCTTGTAGGGGATCTTGAAATATGTCGTGCCAGCGAGGTAGCGGAAGGTGCGCTTCGCTGCCCCCATGTGATTCTTGCTCGGCTTCGCCATCGGGCGAGCCAGTTGGCTTGTAGCGTACATGATGTCGTAACGCAGTATTTGAGAGAGGTAAATGAGGCACCCCACGATGCCCTGGTACCGTCGCGTTTCCTCCTGGTTCAGGAGAGTTTCCTCCGGTTGCACGTTCGAGGGCCCCGGCCCGAGGCCGGGCGTGCTGGTCGGCTTGCAGGCCGACATCCCAAACCGGTCGAGGATAGACTTGCTGTAGGCTTCCCGAGAGATGGATAAAGTGCCGCGCTCACGGTCCCTCTTGATCTCCATCCCCGAGATGAGTGATGCCTCGCCCATGTCCGTCATCTTAAAGCGTTGTTCAGCTTATCCTTAACAATCGAGAGGGCGTCGGAGTTGTTGCCGGCCAGGAGGAGATCGTCAACGGAGAGGGTCAGGTACATCTGGGAGCCGTCGTGGTCGTAGAAGTAGACACACGGGTCAGGCTTGAGCGGGACGAAACCGATCGAAATCAGGAACGGGTCGATGGTGTGGAACCAGTTCCCGGGGCTTTGAGCCAGCCAGTAGAGACTCTTCTGCAGCAGCATCACGAGGTCCTCTCCATTCTCGCCTTTAACCTCGAAGCCCGGTGGCTGTTCGACGTACACGTCCTCCTGAATGTCCGCGTAGAGGAAAGCAGCGGTGACGTCCATCTGAACGATGATCAAGTCGAATTCAACGGTGATGCATAGTAAAACCCGGACGCTTTGGGTCCTGCACACCGGAGCATAGGTGCCACCGCAGTCTCGACTCGACCATGAATTTGATTGTATCCTTGTGCCACAAGGCGTAATTTGAAGGAACGGTCGGCCTTGCGCTTGAACACCCATCTGAAGTTGATCCTTCGTCTCCCTCGGGGAACGGTCGAACGCAGGACGAGCTTGTAAACTTTGCGATCTTTAAGGTCTGCAATCTCCCGTTCGGCCGCAGCGATCCACTGTGCTGCGTCCTTGGATGCTCGGGCTTCTTCGATGGTCTTTGGAACATCCGGTTGGACTGTTCCTGCTGTATGTGCGTATTCGGCGAATCCGAAGGAGCCGTCCTTGTGGGCGACGTCGGGAAACTCCCCCTTCGCGCTATACGCATAGGAGATCCGACGAAGTTTGCGGAGTGTCTTGCTGTTGGGAATGCTAGACGCCGACCTGGTAACGGCAGGCGTCGGAGCGGAACCTCGTCCAGTTGTTGGTCCGCGACCACCGCGCGGCGCGATGCCTCCACGCGCAGATCCACCGCGTGCAAAACTGCGCTGTGTACCTCGGTCACCACGAGACGAGCCGCGCCGACGCACAGACCCACCCCGCGGCGGAGCAGTAGTCGGAGCCGGAGCAGGACTAGGAGACGGTGAATCGGCTAGACTAGGAGACGGTGAATCAGGTCATGTGTCAGGACTAGGTGACGAGCCAGCTGGCGATACACCGTTGCCCGGTACCGGGGGGTTAACTCCTCCAGACGTACCTCCAGAATCACCAGATGCTCCAGAACCGGGAGGGGAACCAGCAGAACGAAATCCAAGGTCGCGATCGGTCGTCTGACGGATTTGCTCAAGAAGATCAGCCACAGACGGGTCCTCAACGGCATGATTGGGAGAGGTCGGCCGAACCAAATGATTGAAGGCATGGTTGCGCACGTCTCGTACCATGTCGTTACGGTCGTCGTATGTGCACTCTCCGTCTTCGAAACCACGTGCATCTAGCGAAAGCGAAACGGGAGGTGTCTCTATGAAGACGACATTTCGAGCCTCCCGAACATTTCGCATCGCAGAGTTGTAGATCCTGTACGACTTGCTGTTCATGCTATACCCAACGAGCCGTCCTTCCCAAGCGCGGTACTCCGGTTCTTGGTGTGAGGCTCTTCGTGCACGAACGCCCTCGACCCTATCGCCCTAAGGTGCCCAAGGCAGGCGTCCTTGCCGTAGAGCGCCTTGTACGGCGTCCCGTTTTGCACAGCTGCGTGAGGAGTCCGGTTGCTCAGGTAGACAGCCGCATGTATTAGCTCCCCCCAAAGGAAGTCCGGTAGAGTCGAGTCAGCGAGAAGGCAGCGCACGATGTTAAGAATCGTGCGCCCCGCACGCTCGTTCGCTCCGATCTGTTGTGGGGTGTTTGGAGAGGCAAACTCAAGCTTGATGCCGGAGTCCTGACAGAACTGGATGAACTTCGCGTTCTTGAGCTGCAGTTGTCCTTTTTTGTTGTAGGAAACTCTGCAGATTGGAATGTAAACGTTCGATGGTATTCCCTTTTTTGGGAAGTAACCGGAAACGGGTATACCCGGGTGGATTATCACCATGTCAGGGTACACTTGGAAATCAAGACGACACCAATCTCCGACAGCATCCGCCGTAGATCGCCGCGAAACCAATAACCCGATATCTGTGTCCGGTGCCTCGGGAGCATGATGCACGAAGCAGGCCGTGCCCGTTTTTCTCTCTCTCTGTGCCTCTCTCTCTGTGCTATTACTGATCAGCACCACACCGAACGAACTCGCGCGTCAAGCGAGTCCGACCCTCTGTCGAGAGGGGCCGGTATCCTACAATGGAGGAGGCGGTGCCCATCAACGAGCGAGCGTTGTTGGTGGTTTGCGGGTATGTATGTGCGGTGCACGGTATGTGCGGTACACGTTTTTTTCTGCGGGTTATGCATATAGACTATAGCGTAGGGCGCCGGAATTATATGACCATTTCTGGGTACAAAATCGATCTCTTCCGGGTACACCAGCAACCAACTTCGGTCACACGAGAGGGTCCTAATGCCAGCGGTAGTTGTACCCGATGGCGGTTTCTTCCGAAATGGATACTATGGTTTTTCGGCCAATCAACTATCAGCCGGGGGGTATCGTGTTGATTTCGAAGTGTACCCTAAAGTGGTGATAAAGTACCTGGGTATACCCGTTTCTGGTTATTGGTCTCCCCCTTTTCCCCGGGAGTTCCGCAGTACAGTAGTGTCAGGCAGTGCTTGTGTTTTGGCAAGGCTCCTGAAAAGTCGCCTTTGGGTCAGAAGCCGAGTGTCATAGCGCCAGTAAGGTATAAAAGGTGAGCGATGTGCCGTCCCCATAGCGCTGTGATGAGAATGACGCCTCATACATCGTTTGGATATCACTGCGAGATTGGGTTGAGAAGCGATTGAGGTTTGACAGGTGTACCCTGTTGATCACGAGTGCACCTCGAGGGCTAACTACTGCTGTAAATAGAGACCACACTTGATCCCTCTTGCGCGTATCAGTAACCCGTGACATCTTCTGAATACCAACATACATAAGTCGACCAAGCATTCCTTGAACCCGACGTCTAGCAGAACCCACTCTGCTAGAAGAACCACAACCTCTTCGGTAATTGGTTCACAGTGCTCCACATCAGACACAAACCCTGCCAAAACCCTTTAGACATTCCACATTTTCCTCAGAGAGGCGGGAAAATAGTCCTAAGCAGGATGCGCGCAATGCGGTAGACTTTTTTTTCGTTGGTTGTTGGAACAACAACTGTTGGTACAACCGGTGCTGTATCTAGTCGTCATTTTTTTGTATTCAACAAACAGTTTCGCCGATTCCGATAGCCAGAACGAATAATAATAATAGCCTGAACGAATCTGTGGAGGTTGAGCGCTGCTCTACCCGGGGGGGCTAGATAGATATCGGGGTGTGCCACTGACCATGCCCGCCCCATTTCCGATATTTTCTAAGGCGCTGATGGAAAGGAAAATGGCCCAGGGGACGCAAAGATCCCATCCTTGTATCAGGGGTGTATTGGCCGCCGGGGTTACACCGGCTGCGTCATTGCCCACACAATATGGTGTTCTAACATCACTCCATCCACACATCAGATACAATCACAAGCACCAATCACATCGTGGGCAATGAGAGGGACGGAGGTAGCGATAAGAAGAATTAGAGGGAGAGGTGTGGCTGGCTTGCCGGCTACACGTCCTTCATATTCAGGCCGACAAATGGTATTTCGCTACACACACGCTCGCCGATTCTTTGCTTCAGGTTCTTTCTATTCTCGTGGCGTCTAGTCAAAGTGTAGACGCTTCATCATGTCTTTTAGACGCACCAGCCGGGATCAGAGGAGGAAATCGCCACCTCTTGCGGTACATACCTCAACTTTAAAGCAAGAACGGCTCAGCGGTCGCTTCTGCCAAATGTCGCGTGTACTCCCGACTACCAATGCGCTTTGCACTTCAACTGCAAGTTCTTCCCTCCGAAGAGATTTGAACCCACGACTAGGAGCCAAGAGGATACACGAGGTCCCTGACTCATTCACCCAGTCACAACAGCGACTTTGTATGACGGAGTTCTTTTGCAACATTGATGCGACGTCGCGTTTGCAATCGAATGGATTTGAAAGACAACCAAGATTCTTCCCCGGCGGCGTGTCTCCATTGTCCCTGACAGACCAGTGCCACGACTAACTCCAGAATCGGTGAACAAGACGGCACCGCACTCCTCCGTATTTGAACACTCAACGGGGATGCTCTCATGAGTCTACTGTACCACACCACGAACTTCAAGACACGCTTCACCACCCCAACGGACACAACACGCAGGAAGATTGGAAACAAGCTTCGGAAAACAAGAATAAGAAAAACACGAAAGTTGCATGCGTTTGCTTGTGCTGTTGTTGTTGTCCTCACCCTCCAGCAATCATCCGACCTCTACCTGACAGTAATGAATCACTATTCCGGGCATTCGGCCACAGCAAGTTAACCGACAATGAAGGTGCATGGTATGTAGGGACAACGACAACGATGCAGGTGATGCTTTCACAACTACGCCATAACAATAAGTATGTTTCCACGGGAATACGCATCATGACAATGAAAGCTAGGATTCTGTACCATCCCCTCGGTTGGCGGAGAAGCTCCAACCCTCGTTTGCGACGATTGAGGCAGGTCCTTCAATTGGCGGCTTGACTCAGCTCCTTCATCATCCGCTTGTGCAGCGCATTTTCCAGTCCCCTCAGCTCATCTTGGATGGTATTCTCCAGGCGGTTCCGAAGAAGTTTGACGTGCTCTACCGTAGTTCTTTTGTCCCTCTCGTCCTGGCGTACGTCCTTATCATCCATGGGGTCGTCAAGGAATTCGCGCAACTTTTTCGCGCCTACTCCGCCAGGGCCTTCCAACAGTATGCTTTCTATTGTGCATCTGAAATGCCCACTTTCAGCATGTGCGATGCTGACATCGTAGTTGCAACGGCACAACAATCGCCGAGATGCGCCCAGCCACAACACGAAGAGATACACCGGGGCTCCTAGTATGCACCATAACGGGATGATAAAAAAATACCGACAACCCAGCGAGATGAGGCTTAAGCGCTTTCGGTCGCCTTCTCTGTGGTGTTTGCGCCACAAGTACACTGAAAGCGGTGTAGATACTATCCATAGGAGTGTTCCTCCAACAACAGCTACGGGACCCAGCACGACCCAGAACACCACGGGTCCGATCGCTTTATTACCGCGTTCGTATGCTTCCCTCCCACGATTAAGTTCTTGCCTTGTGCTCTGAGACCCGCTCGTTGATCGCCCACAGCATCCGCCCACACACCAAGCAATCGGCCATACGACCAACTGCAGTAGGTTGAACGGGGCCGGAAGAATGTCGTTCGTCACGACCAACTGGTAGTGGTCCATCATCCGCGCGATCGATGCCTTGAACTCCCGATCGATATTCTTTTGTACCTTAGAGTGCGATGTGCTCAGTATTGCCACCAAGAGGTTGAGGAGCAAAATCGTGACGATGGAGAGATACACCACCAGCAACATCGTCGCCACAGCGTCGTACGTGTCTCCTGAGAATGCGTTGAAGAAGGTAGTTTCACCGAACATGGCTTTGAATAATTCCAGAAACGACTCGCCGAAGCTGTCAAAGTCGCGGAAGAGGACATGGAAAGCCATGGTGAACCCTATCATGACGACGGCCATGACGAACCCAAACTTGAGCAGGACCGTCGTCATGCGGAATATCACCTGTGTATCGGCAACACACACACAAAGCAACAGGGTTGTATTATCAGGCATGCTCGAGCAATGCGCAGGAGGAACTAGATACACTCCCCACACCTTTCCAGCCGCGGGCACAACATACGCCGTTGTGTTTATAAACGACGCCCTCAAACCCCTGAACGGCGCCAAGTCATATGGTTCGTTCTGCAGCATGCTGAGCGCAACCTGCTGTGTGCTGACCCTTAACCTCTTGTGATGAATTGACCTACAAAGGACATGTCACGTGCACATTACACAACGCAACAACAACACAGCACAGTACAGCACCTGTCCCGCTATAGACCTCGCCTTCAACGGCAATGACAAATGGTTTTGCTTCCCAACGACCCTCTCAATGCTCCATTTGACACCGAAAGTCTTAGTCGTGTTCGCCAACACACGCTAGCTACTAGGAGAGTTTCGTTATGCCACTCGCCTGAACCATCGGTCCCTGGAGAGGATGGATCTGGACGAAGAAAAGAGCACGAGACACCAACAGCGGGGCACTCAGCGCATAAAACGCGGGCCCCAATTGCTGTGTCCAGTCGACAACTCTGGCGATAAAACCGATGGTAAAGAACAGAAGGCCCAGCAAGTCCAGAGCATTCCACTGATCTTCCAAGTACCTGCCGTAGTTCCTTGCCATTTCGAACCACTCCCGGTACATTCCACCCTGAAGCAACGTTGGACCCAACAACAACGTATTGCGGGGTAAGGGGCTCTGATAAGTCCCCGAAGGCACAACGCAATCAATCTCGGAATGGGTTGCATTGACACCATAGTGTGCTCGAAACCGGAAACAGAACATTCGCTACACAACAATTAATCTATCTTGGAAAAAGCCAACCAAATGAGAAATGTGGCGCGATCGCACCAACACTCGTCGCCAAAAAGTCCTTGGTTTCTTCTGCTCAGACTCGAGCAAAGACTAACCGCGATGACGGCCGTCGCACAAGTGGCCTCGGACCAGTTAAGCTTCCTGAACACGATTTCTTCATCAGCGGAACCGTCGACACGCGATTGCTCGGCCTGTGAGCGGAAGAGCACAAAAGTACTCAGGGCCACGAGTACACCAAGGTAGACGACGAGGTCCAGCACCATCCTCATGACCGGTACCCTGAAGTAGTCGTTTGACCTCGCAGCCAAGCCTGCGACGATGAACTGTGCTGCAGGGAAAGGTGTAAGGCAAGGAAGCCGATCGTTGGCTCCCTGTAGAAGTGCCCGAGGCGATCTGAAGCTGGCAAGAAGGCAATTGCTACCGAGAAGTGTTGGGTGCGCCCATGCTTGTGCGGACAACTGGCCGTGGTCTGCTCGTGCAGCCTTTTTGTCCATATCTTCGGCTTTCAAATCAATGAAAGGACCGTCCTCTCTCCGAACATCGGCGTCCACAACCGTGATAGGAACAAACGTGCCAAGAACAAGGCAGACGTTTCCTCGCACATCCCCACCACTCAGATGAAAAATCTCCTTGGAATCGGCAAGGATCTCCTTCTTGTCGCGCATGCTTGGCAGGCCGAGGGTGAATTTCCGTTTTATGAAGTCCATGACGAGAGGAGCACTGCAGAAAATTTCTGTCTGTTGCCGTCTCGAAAGAATCATCTCCATAGGCGTTTCGAAGTCCTTGGAAGGCAAAGACGCCGGCTCAAACATGTCGCCGGAGGCGTCCATGTCCCTCTCAAAGGATCTGACCGATCGAGGTAACCCCTCAAGGATTTCAAGCAAGAGATCGTTAACTCTAGCATGGACGTCCGTGATGGCCCTTTGTTCTCCCTCGTTAGTCTTTTCGGCAGCCTCGGCAAGGCGTATCGACAGCACCAAGCCCGGGATGAAAGGGTTGGAAGCAGAGGCCACGGCATCCAAGCAGCAGTCCCTGAATTTTTCTCCCCCGGCGTGCGCTATTGCGAGCTTCTTGAGATGGCTCGGTGAAGGACGCGCGCAGCTTGCCACGAGGGAAGAGAGAAGCCTCAGGCCATACGGTCGCCCAGCATGTTTTCTGAGATGCCGTTCGGCACACTTCGAGAAAATCTCATCAAGTGGAACCGTCTCGGCCACCTGAGACAACGAAGGGCAACCGAGCAAACCGGTTTCGAGACCAGAGTCAACGTCACATAGACCACGAGTATAACGCGCGCAGTATTGAGGGCGTATAGACCTCGTGAAATCGTCTCGTGCACGACCACAACCTTCCCGCACCGTGATCTCTCAGGGATGGCCGATCTATGACCAATACAGGTGAAACCAGTATGCATCATGACGACCAGGTATAGAATAATTGTGGCCTGTGGGGCCGACACCATTGAAACGGCACAAAGGAAGTGCCACATAATGTTGCTACGCACGAATGGAATATTGCACGAAAATGATACACTTCTTTGAAATCTTGACTGTACTTGCATCTCACGAGATCAAGGCAGGTTACGCCCGATTGTGTACGACGCCGTTCACCACGTGTATCCATACGATGTCATCTACAATAAACAATCAAATCAAACGAGGATGCCAACAATATGTTAAGACTGGTGCAGCAACGGCATGAGGCCGAGTTGGGTTTGATACCCTGGCCCACCGATCACAACAACTACGGGACGTTGGGTGGGTTACCTTTTTGTGGCGTTTTGAGCAATCCATAACCTCGCGCAAAAGCCAAAAATTCTTCTTCCTCAGTGGTTCCCTCAGCGCCCACCGAAGGTATGACCCGCGTTGATTAGACGCTACAGTCGTCAGGAACTCGAAAAGTTTCTCCGTCTGGAGAAACATTGACGGCAGCGACATATCTTCAATAATAGTGGATAGATCGGGCAACTTATGCAGGAGAGGAAAGAGCGCACACACCGTTCCCGAGCAAGAGTCAGCGAGCTATCTCCACAAATAGTGTCTCCATTGTCGCTATACGCTGGCGGCGAACGGAAAAACGGGACCACACGTCAACTGTCACTCGCGAACAGCTGCATCTTTCCAAAAATTCGTCCTATGGCTTGCGAAAAACAACTTGACCTGGTTCTCATTCCCGTTCAGACCCTTCACTGCAGCGTTCAAGACGGCCTCAAACACAACCAGGCTTTCGCTCATCCACACCGCGGTCGACAGAAGATCGAGGCAGAAACGACAGGGGTCGAGTCGCTCGGTCGGTTGCGGCGCGTTGCTGTCTGTAAACCCATCCAGCTGGAAAGGCGGACGAAAATGTTGAATGTTGTACGATTGGCGTCAGTATCATGTGGTGGGGACGATCGGGGCTCACCAGTCGCGCGCTCCCGGGGCACGAATCCGACACCGCCATACCCGACCGTAGCATGGATCCTTCGAGAACGCCCCTACGAAACGAAGAGCTCCGCACCCCCGCGGACAACGGCCGCGAGAAGATGCGTTCTAATGGTTTGGCTTTGCCCGTCGGCTGACTCTGATCTTCATGTTCCTGTCCTTTTTGGCTGTTTGCAGGAGAGTTCACATGAGTGTCAGCCCACTTCTGAAAGCATGTGATGGCGGTTGTCTTTCAGGCCAGAAACGTTTCCGACATCTAAAGTCTATGTGTAGATGTGCGCTGTCAGGCTGCCAGTGCCCAGCCCCGACATACGGCTATTCCGCTCAAGACTCGCCAACAACAATGGAAAGCTCCTTGTCGTCGCCTGTGACTGGGTCGCTGCTTGACAACTCGGGGCAGCCCTCACAAAGGCAGGTGTGCATGCGATGCTAGAAAATCAGGAACCGGCCGCAAACTTCACCGACCGCCCTTCGGCTGGGTTCTCGGAGATGCTATTTAGACCTGGCGTCGCGGGTCCGACCGCGAGGGAACTGCGGCCTTCGGCCGTAGTTTGTCGCCTGGAGATCATAGGCAACGCATGACGTTCCTAAAAACCCAAAAACCAAACATCGGTCACAACGATAAGCCACGTGTACCTGTGAACCACTCGGGGGCGGCGATCCTACCAAGTCCCACACATCAAGGACCTGCGTTCGAGCCTCGAGACGGCGAACAAACGTGCAGGTAACGCTATCTCAGGGTTGCCTTTGAGTCACCTTTTTGAGGCCATCAGCTCGTCGGCATTCGTTCAGGACGAATTCAAACAGCCCTGCATCCTGGAAGTCGATCGCCATCGATAGCAGTGTTTGATTGGCATGATCCCTTTCGTTGGTAAGCTGCTGCACCTGACACAATACGCCGGACGCCGACGGAATCAAAACCAGCAATCCGTCCTATTGACCTCGCAAGGCAGGCGACGCTCCGATTCCGGACTAGTCTATTGCTAACCTTCATTTTTCGAGCATTCTGCTTTCGCGAATGAACAATTTCGTCTTTCTGCGAAGTGAGGTGGGATGCAGATAGATACGGGAGAAAGGTACTCCATATGTCTGCGCTTACTGGTGTTGGAGTTCTCTTGTCGAAAACTACCGGACCTCACTTCTACACCCGGAAGAACCTAGGAAGTTGGCGATTACCATAGAAGTGCGTGTGATTGTGATGGCACCCATCGGTGATTTCGCACCCATCGATGTTATGGCACCGGGGTGGGCAAAAGTATCAAATACGGCATGATTTAATTGTATTTCCGCACCGGTATCGGTGTCATCGTACCCAGTGCGATATCAACGATATATAGCCTACTAAATTTTTGCGTGCTTCCACAAGGTACCGGTACCCTCTGGGCCACGAGTCCAACGGTATGTAACGCGGTTGGCAGGTACCAATTGGGGCGCCATTTCTTGTATGTATATCGTACCGTCGTGGTTTGCGCAGTAGAGATGATTATGTTTCTTTTCCTGCGGTAATTCGTCCATCGAACGCACTCACTCACTCAACCAAGCTCACAGCAGTACACGTCCCGCACCTCCAACCAATCGAAAAAGAACAACTTCGTGAACGGCACTAAAATTGTACCCGTACCATGCCCCTTCAGGCAGACAGAGACAGAGGGAAGCACCAGCCAACAAAAGAGGGGCTTGTGACCAACAAAGAGGCCGGAAGAAAACGAAACCCCGCCGTATACACACCTTCCCCAGCAGGGAACCACAGCGTTTGTTCCCTTTGGCACACGCCACCCCAAACTAGGATTCGACCTCATCACTATCAACACTCCGGGCTGGTTGCATGGTACCGTCTACGCAAGCTCCTACCGCAAGAGCTACAGCACGCAAGACGAAGACGTCTACGCCTGTTCGTTTCTTGATCGCACCTATAGGTGTCATCGTGCCGTAGTGCGTTCACTCAGCACCGCATCATGGCCACTTTGGTTTCTTCCACACCGCACCCATCGGTGTCATCGCACCGGGGGTGCGTAAAAAATCTAAAACGAAATGATTTAATCCCATTTCCGCACTGGTATCAGTGTTATGACGCAGGGTGCGATACAAAACCAAGACAGGAATGATTTAAAAAACGATCGGACCCTGGTGTCATCACACGCACTTTTACGGCAGTCTTGATATTGGGATCGATGGTGCCTGCCCCCGGATGACGAGCTGAGCAGCAAAGACCACGTTTGTGGTCAGGTGTCATGTCGGGTGTTCGACAGAAAGTAATGCAAACAAATACGAAGCAGGCGTGCTGCACTCCAAGAAATCCGGTCCTTGAAGGGTATGTGTGCAGAAAACGTAGCTGCTCGAATACATACCAAATCTGTCCTGCAACACGAGTTGTGTGGTGGTATTCGGTTCAAGCATGCATACGCCAGTGAAATACCTGCTGTCTGGTGAGCTGCTCCATCGGAAGATCGAGAGCTGTGCGAAACGTCTCCTTACCCTTGCTTGAGAAAGCGGCCATGAGGAGAGTCTTTCCACTGGTGTCCTTTGCCCCTAGCATGTCGTGAATCTGGTAGGGGAGTAAATGGCGCGGAGTAGTGCGAGAGAGGTCCGAACGGTTCGCACACAGCAGTTGAAGTGACGCAACAAGAATATTACACGGGAGGGCAGCTTCAAACCCTTACCTATTGGTATTTTTTTCTAGTACACTTTGGAATATACCAGGAATATACGTATGCATAGGGCGGCTGCAGACCGAAACAACGTCGAAACGAGTTTTGGACTTTTCGGCAAAAACTGATGTCAAAGATTTCGAGCTTGATGCTTCGACGTATTTTTCAGAACGATGATTTCAACCTGGACTCCCTCCCCGCTCCCGCGATATGTTCGAACTACTTTCCGAAATATCTCCAAACCAAACGCCGAACAACTTCAAGGTTGCTGCCTGGAACGATCCATATCACCATGTGCACATTCGCATTCCACACCCTGCAGCAAAACATGCAACGGAATTGTGACATGTTGTTACCTCATCATTGCCGAGACGTTGAACTTCTTTCCGTACGCGGCTGAATGTTGCTTGATTCCCGCTGAGGGCCGCGAGCTGCGGCACCGTGTGTCCGCGCGCATCCTTTCGCAGCATTTCCGCGCCCAGAATCCCACACTTCTGCAGCAGCAAGAGCAGGGGCAGATTCTGAGAAAGGGCAACGTCGATGATGGAAGACCCCTTCCCTTCAGTAACTGACAACCTCCGGCTGGTGTCAGGTAGTATATCGTTTGTGCAGCAAAGCGAGGTATCAACGCTTCCTGGCATCTTCTGGCAAACCGCTTCGTTCCTGCAGCGCAGAAGGGCGTGGCTTGGCGGTGCTTGGTCTCCTGGAATGAGGCGTACTTCGTATGTCGCTACTGGAAACCTGAGCAGGTGTAGCCGCTGTTTGTCGGCCGTACTCCGCGTACTTATCGGGACTTGTTTGTGTAGTGTATTAACTTCAGACGGTGAGACAACGCCCGTACCCAGGACGCTGTCGTGCTCGGAAAGCAGGAGGAGAAAGAGAGAGTGGCAGCGCGGCTGCTGCACTCAACAAAGGGGGTCCCGGTGCATCATCACCGTACCCCTACCTAAAAGGTTCTACACCATCTGCGTCACACTTGTACGTATGGCTAATGTATCCAAACCATGTCCGTAGACCCACGAACAC